ATGAACTATTTTTTCTACTTTGTTCTTACTATACAGTCTGTGATAGATTCACTTACATTACTCCATGTGTTACCACAGTTGTATCTTGAACTTTAAATAATTGTCTCCTTTTCATCAAAGTCCACTGGTTCAATTACTTTAGAACACCCTTTGACAAGACAACTTATTCTCATTATCTCTCTTAAATTGTGAAACTCACTTTAAGATGTCGCCCGTTATGGCTAATCACTCACACGCTGGCTAACTTTAAATTTTCTAACTTTTTTTCTGACTGAACTTTACTTTCACTTCACTTTATCTCTACTTGACTTGCACTCGCTTGGTCGCCTATATTTATAGATTCTTCACTGAGGCCTCAAACTTTCTATATACTACACAAGTGATGCTATAATGTAACAATTCTCAGTTTTGGTAACGAGAAAAACACTGAAGATTCGAGTAACATGATTTCAACAATATTAGTAATGTCTAGACAACAGTGTAGTTGTAAACACAATGTATCACTCTTACTGAGTTACGTAACAAATATTTGTCACAGCTAACACTTTTATAACAATCAATCTTCCATACTGCTGTCATGAAAACTAAACGATCATTATATATTAAGTCACAAAATAAACTAAATAATAACACTTACACTTAGCAGTCTTGTATATCCAACAGCCATTATTGTTATTAATAAAGTGTCAAGTTTGTGATCGTGTTTGTGTTCCATAGTGAATTTTAAACTGTTATGTTTACAATTCAAGTACTGAAGAAATTGAGCAGTTTGATCAGAGTTCCTAAAGAGGGTAAAATTGTCAGCAATATACATTTGGTAGTACAGTTGTTTAAATGATTGTTGGTAATTTTAGACCATCAGCTAGTCAATACAGGCAGAACTTCATCAGAAATGTACTTGCTATTTAATATTTGAAAGTTGTCTAAGAAGTGTACATTGACTTTCATTTAAAGGAAATCTTAAACTTTTATTATGTCTCCACAGACAGACATACTGTTTTTCTATTGTTTATTTTTCGTCTTCCAAACACTATTCAGTCAACTGCCATTCTTTCATTTCTTGGCAGATTGATTGAAACTTGATAGGGTTATACCTTGGCCCAATATGTGTAGACACCTTTTCCATTTTTTTATTTATGCTTTATTAAGGAATTACTGGGTCAAAAATCAAACAACCCAAATATGTATATTTTCAGCTACTGTGTAGTCATCTTTACAGTACCCAACACATTGACATATAAGAAAGTTGGATTTGTCCATTTTGAGTCTTTTTACATGATCAGAGCTCACTAAAAAGCATAATTCTGGGGGTTTTGGTCAATTACTCAGCCATATTTTGACCAATTTAAATGAGATTTGATACAAAAATACTTTTGTACAGGTCCCACACATTGACAAACAAAAATGATGAACCTACCCATTTTTAGTAATTATAGAGAGGTCAAGATGCCACAAAAAGCATAATTTTAGGGTTTTATGATAATTACTTCACTTTATTTTGGCCAATTTACATAAGATTTGGTACAAAGATACTTTTTACAGGTCCAATACATATGCATACAAAAATGTGGGACATATCTATTTTTAGTCATTTTAGGGGAGATCAAAAGGTTAATAAACATGTCCCAAACAGAGATATAGACAGTTTTTGATTTTTTGTGTTTTTTTTACAATTTTTCTGGTGTCAAAATTAGCCATGTATGGATTGTGTGAAAGAGACTTGTTGCATTTGCCTGTGAATGTTGGCCTCTTTAATTTTGTAACAGCATCTGTACTTTGGGGGTTATAAATTTTATTTGGTTACATAAAATTTTCTTTTTTAAGGAAAAGAACTAAGGCAATCACTCCTCTCTCTCTCTCTAAATACTGATAAGGAAATACAATTGTCAGTGATAAGAATTAGAATATGTTTTAAACCATAAGTTTGTTTCAAGGCCATGAGAGCTTGTTATGTGTGATAGATAAAGGGCTATATTTAGAAGTTTTAAAAGAGCACTAATTGCACAAAATGCTATTGTGAAGAATGTGTTACTTTTAAGAATATTTTGTAAGATCATTTTTTTGATAGTCATTAGAAACAATTAATTAATCTATTTCCTGTCTTTGACATCAAATATTTTGATACATGCAGAGGTGAAATTCTCAACATAAAATCCTGTTACTCATATGCATATACAACAAAGGACTTTGCTGATATATGTAATTTATAACATAGTTTACTAAATAAAAAGGAAAATACATGAAACCATTATTTTGATGGTTTTAAAGAAATACACATGTTTTGAACATGTGACTAAATTAAAAATTTGATAATTGAAGACTTACCTCTGATGTCTTTTTTCTTTCTTACCATTCTGTTGAATAACAAAAATTTATTACATGCATTAATATCAGGGGCATGTATTGATCACTGAACATCTGTCAATAAAACTCATTGGAGATATTTATTGTTCTTGACCAGTCATACAAATCACAGATGAGTCTACCTAATTGGTTTAATAATGATTGACATTGAAGCTATTAAATACATTCTTCACATGATCTTTTTTTTCCAAGATGAATTAATATCATTAGGTTATTTATTGGTTAATTTGAAGAATATTTGTTGTTTAGGTTCTGTGAGTAGTGGCATGTCTGCTTTCTGATAGTATGATAGAAAGCATATGGGTTGGATGAAAAACAAATAAAATAAGTTTTAGTTCTGAGTACCAGCATAATTTCAACCCTGAATATATGTGTGATTTTAGTTTTGGGTGAGGTTGATTAAGTATACTGAATTATTTAAACCTGTTTTTTAATATTCAATACATCTGCTACAAGAAGAAAACTTTCATGTCTGTTTAACAGGTCCCTGTAACTAAACTATGTATCATTTTAATTTACAAATATTTTTGCTTATGAAATTGTGAAACTATGAGTATTTTGGTCCTCAGTTTTAAATGTATGGTCACTTCTCTAGGTTGGCTGTAAATTTTTTGTTGTTAAGCGCAGTTTGTGTTGTGCCCACCATGAATATTTAATCCTAGTATTTAGTGTTATAATCCTTCAGACTTATTGCTGAACCACTGGGGGCAAATTTCTTGTTTGTTGTTAAGCATTAAGCTTCACAATGGGCTGTCTGTGCTGTGACCACCATGGGTATCAAAACCTGGTTTATAGCATTGTAAGGTTTCATACTTATTGCTGTGCAATTGGGGGTAAATGGCTGTTAAAAGATAGAAAATTAACTGATGAAAGACTCCTTGGTGTATTTTAACATTAAAACTTTATATCTCTTTATTTTAACTACAATATAAATTTTGTACTAGTTAATGTTAAAATATGTTTGTATTTTATATTTAATTTTTCATTGTTTCATTATCGTATATGATAATTTCATAATGAACATTTTTTCCCAGTTATACAAAAATATTTCTATGCAGTATTATTGAAGCAACTGTAAGTATGAATTACAAAACTATTCAAATCTTTTGATATATTGATCTTAGTTCTCAAGATTGACATCAAGATACTTCCTGGTTCAGGTAAGACATCAAATGTAAATTACCCATTTACATACATCCTTTTTAAAAAACGTTAAGAATATATTTCACATCTTCATGATATAAAATATTTTACAAATAAAGATATAGATACAGAAAAATATGACTATTATGAATTATAATTATTCACATTTTATACATTATATATTTTTAACTAACATTTTCTTTAATAGTGTGGATAAATTATTTCTGTCAGTAAAATCAAAACATTAAGCAGTGTCACTTTGACAAGTACTATTTACAAATATTTCAAATTTAAAAATTCTAAAGTTTGTTTTATTCAACCTCTCCTTCCTCTTCATGAATTATGTAGCTCCTTTTATTTAATTATTAATTTCATACTTAATTATCTTGAAATTTT